TTGTTTCTTTGTCACCTGCATTTGCTGATGGTGACTTCTCATCTTCTGGAGTAAACCCAACGCCGGTTTTCTTTTCGGCACCTAATTGCCATGCAGCGCCAGTTCAGACGCAACATAAAATTCCCTTTGTATCGCATACAAGTGATGCAAACCTATGGCGACTGGCAGCTACAACTCCAATCGTCACGCCTGCTAAGTGTTGTAATGATGGAAACATTTTTTCTAATGTGACAACTGTTGTTCCACCGTGTAACACCGCTGCCCCGTATACTAGTGGTGGGACTGTGTATCATAATTCTCCGCCAGTTCATCCCCAACATGTTCCGCATTTTGTCAATTATACTAATAATGGTTATCAGCCAGTCAACGAAGACTACGCACCGTCTTCGGCTTATCCGAACCAAGGTTGTTCATCTGATCGACCTCTCTCCGCTCGTGAATTGGCGGAATTATTGATGCATAGCCGCAAAGACCATCTTCCTGAATGGAAGTTAGCCCAGTTTGACGGCAACCCGTTAAACTGGCACAGATGGTTTGGTCAGGTTATGTCCACCGTTGATTCGGCTGTTCTCACCGATGATACGAAACTGACACTAAAAAACTTAAAAACACTAGTCACAGGCAAAGCAAAAACTGCAATTGCGGAGTTTAGTTATAGTGGCGTTATGTACAAGGATGCACTGGCCACCTTGCAAAGGAAGTTTGAGCAACCACAAGCTATTGTTGGAGCGCATCTTGATAAACTGAATACTTTTCCGCCACTTAAGATGCACAATTCGTAAAATGCCATTAGTTTCCCATCTGCCATATCTGGCCTTGTAGCAGTTTTCAAATCATTGTCATTCAACGATGATCTAAAGTATGTTAACCAGATAAACCAAGCTGTCAGTAAACTTCCGCCTAATCTCAAGGAAGCTTGGTCAAAGCATACTTTTAGGCATAACTGGCAGCGACCAACACTCTTAGACTTTAATAACTGGTTGAACGAAAAGACCGAGGAGCATGAAAGATTACGTGTACTTAACTCTAAGGCAAAAAACGAGGAACCAGTGAAGCCAAAAACAACCAAAGTTTTTGCAGCCAATAGCCAGGTAACTAGTACGTCTCAGGATAAGTTTAAGTTTCTGCCGTGCGTTTTGTGTAAGGGTCCTCATGCATTGTGGAACTGCGCAGTTTTTAAGGAAAAGAATGCTACTCAGCGAGCAAAATACGTAGCTAAACAAAAAACTTTGTTTCGCTTGCCTCAATGGCAATCATACTTTCCGGCAATGTTCTGGAGCTAACAAATGCCAGAAGCCAGAGTGCGATAGCACACATAATGTCTTGCTCCACTCAATGCTACACATAATGTCTTTGGGATATTGCATCGACTCATTCTTGGGTGTCTTCGTCACTCGTTAACCGTCTCGACTTAATAGGGGAGCCCGTTAACTTGTCAATTAATGGTTTCAATTCAACCATCGTCGTTGAGACTCAGAGGACAAGTTTACAGTTTTCTCCGAGCCGAATAATAAAGATTACGTATTCCCCCTATATGCATATGTTAAAGGCATTATTCGGATTGGTTCCGAATTAAGCAATATTGCTGATTTGCAGAATAAATATCCACAATTAGCACCTATTAAGACTGCTACCATGTCGTTAGACCCATTGAGTTCATCTTGGGAGATGATAAAAACTCACCGTGTTCCGTTCGCCTACCGTTAGGTTGGGTCATAAGTGGTCCGTTGCCGCCATCCGTTGTTTCTACTTCGTGTTTCAATTGTGTTGTTGAAGATTCTTCTCTGACCGACCAGATAAAATCCTGGTAGGAGCTGGAATTTCATGGTGCTTTCAAACAAGTCGATGCCCATTCCGCCGCGGATAAACATGCTTTATCCATCATAAATTCTGAAAACGTTCACAATGGCGAAAGAAACATTGTGCCTATGCTTTGGATTGATAGTAACGTCATCCTACCAAACAACTAATACTTCTCACTCGCCCAATTTAAAACATTGGAGAGAAGGTTAAGTAAAGACCCTGAACTGCGCGAAAGATACGCTGACACATTTAGAGAGGACATTAGGAAAGGCTATGTCATTACCGTCGATCCGCATGATCCACGTAAGCGTTCCGATCGCGAGTGGTATCTTCGCACCATCCCGTCGTAAACCCAAATAAGCCGGGTAAGGGGTGCCGAGTCCTTAATGCAGCTTCTAAGTTTCACGGCACATCCTTAAATAACTCATTAGAATATAGAAGGTATTTTCCTCCAGGTAGGAGTCCTCGCCCGCGATCAAATTTCACTCCGTTTTTTGTGGCGGGAGGATACCACATTCGATGTGGTAGTTCATCACTACACTCGCCATATATTCGGCGCACGAGATTCGCCTAGTGCGCCAATTTCCCTTTGCGAAAAACAGCAACTGATAAAATGTCCACATACCCTGAGGCCGCCTTAGTCGTAAATGAAAAATTTTACATGGGGATTTCTTTGGAAGACCTCTAGGATAGCAGCTGTGTTATTGGTCCGAGCTTGTTGATAATTGCCTGGGGACATCATGTTCCTTCGTCACCGATGTCACATCCATCATACATCCCGAATACGGGTTCAAATGGGAAAGGTTCAGTTCCTTTACCAGATATAAAAGAGTAGTCGCTTTTATGCTGAGGATGCAGCCTTCACATAAGCTTTTTCGTGGTAAAGACTTGCGAATCACCGACCCCACTGAACTTGATATTGCAGAAAGCAAACGGATTCATCTTGCTCAGATGGAATCCTTCCCGTTTGAGTTAAAAACGCTCAACGCTGGCAAAACTATTAAGAATAGTAGTGAAATTGCCACATACTCTCCGTTTTTTTTGGTCCCGCTGGTATCATTCGTTCCACCGACGGATCGTGGCTTAGTGGATTTCGAGTTTAATACTAAGCACCCAATATTAATCGACGCCCGACATACGCTGGTTCTTTTGTTGGCCCGTAGCCTCCATCATAAGCATTTTCATCAAGGTTTAGACTACATGCGCTCCGTTTTAAATATGAAATATGCAATACTTGGGTTGCTTCGACTACTTCGGTCTATCGAAAATCAATGTGTAACATGCTGTAAACGCAAAGCAAGTACCATCCAGCCAATTATTTCCAATTTACCTGTCGAACGACTCGGATATAAGCAACCACTTTTTATTCATACGGGTAGGGATTACTTTGGACCGCTTTAGGTTCCGGTTCGCAGAAGCACTGAAAAATGATGGGGATTTCTTTTCACTTGCCTCACCACCAGGACTGTACACCTTGAGATTGTGCCATCTCTGGACACTAGTTCTTGTGTCATGGGCATTGAACGGTTCATTGAGCGTCGTCGTACACCAAACACAATCTGGTCGGATAACGGCACGAGCTTCGTTGGTACGGAAAAGGAATTACTTGCCTGCATCAAGAGCTGGAATGGCATGGCTCCGACCATATTTGCTCACAGAGGTGTTGCTTGGAATTTTAACCCGCCAGGCGCACCCCATTATGGCGGATCATCCTGGGAGCGCCTCGTCCGAAGCGTGAAGCGCGTGCTTTACGACATATTAGGCAGTAGGCGAGTCACCCAAGGGGTGCTACGAACAACACTCTGCTTAGTTGAGCAGTCTTTGAATTCGAGGCCAATCACTCCCGTTAATACTGATTCACGTGAGTTAGAAGCGTTAACCCCAAACCATTTTTTGCTTGGACAACATGCCACAAGCTTTCCTTCGCTTTTACCTGGGGAGCCCTTCGACCACAATAAAAGGTACGTGCGAGCGCAGTCGTATGCTAACGCTATTTGGTCTCGTTGGCTTCGCGAATATGTTCCCTCGCTGAATAAGCGTGTCGAGTGCCACACTCATTCAGACTTCACTCTTAAAACAGGCGATCTCGTGTGGGTGATTGAGCCCGATAGTCCACGTGGGTACTAACCTCTCGCCCGAATCGTCAAGCTAAACTACGGACAGGACGGTTGCGCCTGATCGTCCCTTGTTAAGACCGCAACCCGTGAAGTCACTCGGCCGACCGTTAAGCTCGCTCCGGTTCTTCCGTCTTCATGGGGGGGGGGGGGGGGGGGAGGATGTTGCAACGCAAATTTAAGCGAGAGTATAAATGCACATATATAAGCCAAATACAAGCCTGAATATGATTGGGCCAAAATGTAACAACCATAAGCACAGTTGGCCGAGTGGCCTGAGTTAACGTACCGACTATACAAACTTGCCAGTTGGCGTAGTTTCGGGTCCCCCACCTGCCATGTTTTAATTTACTAAAAACGGGGGTTATATCCTATTTGAACTGTTTTTTGGTTCTAATTCGGTTCATCAGCCTTGATTAAGGCTGACCGCCAAAAAGAGCAATTTGTCTCAAGGACAATAATACCGGCTGTTGTGGCTAGCTTGTGCCAATTTGTACCGTTTTGGGGCAGTTTAATGAAGTTATACGATGTTATGCTTGACCGAAATTATGATGAATTATTGAGTTTCCGAGAGTTTTTACCGATAAATGCTCTTAATAAATCAAGCATTCGACTTCATAGTTTTTATCAACTTACGGAGATTGAGCACACACTTTGTTAGCAAGTTTTCTTGACACTGGGATTTTTTGTCGATTTTTTTTTATGTCGTTCGAATTACGACTGAAAAGTCTGTAATGTAATATACCACTCAACTTTATTTGATGATTATTTGTGGTAGCCGATTTTGCGTGGAAAAAAAAGAAAAAAAATTCAAAAACACGAGTACAAATTCATTTCCATTTTCAATGGTCGGAACAAAAACAGTATGTGAAGAAGACGGAAAAAACATACATTTTATATGCTACAAAGCCTTGCTGAGCTGCACGTTTTGTGCTATTTTTTGTAGCATAAGGTATCAAAAAGTTGCTGATAAAATGCTTTCGCTTGTGAAAACAGCAATACACTGACTCTATAAAAAACTGAAGAAAAAAAACAAGCTAAAGACATTAAAAATTGATTAACTTGAGCTTTTATCTGCTTTAGCCTGAGGCCAAGTTTAACGAATATTACATAAATAGTCCTATTCAAGTCTCCAATCAAAGAGCAACCGGGATACCAAATACAGTCCAAATTCCAGACGCCACGTCTCAATTTGCGTCTCAAACCAGCATCAGCGACCAAAATGAAGCTTTAGGAAATGAAAAGACAGACTTCCTAACATTGCAAAATTTTAAACCGAAAACTCGTAGCCAGTCACCGCTCCGTGGAAGCGCGCTGGCGATAAGGAAACGGAGCAACACATCAAACAGTAAGCAAACAATTGGGTCAAGAAATATCGCGACGAGTGACTCAAACGCACTATCAATTTCGAATTCATCCTACGTCAAAAATTCGAAGGGCAAAAAAGAGATCGCAAGGCAGAACACGGATCAGTTTAAGACTACTATTCCGATTCAGAGAATGCTGAAGGGAGGACACAGCAAAGAGGCACAGCAACAGATGAAAACGATTCACGATTCAGATCAACAAACAGACTTCGACCATGAAAGTAAGACACAAATGTTATTGCGGAGCATTTCCACCATATGAGCGATGCAAAATTGACCCTCTGCCAACAAAGAAAGCTCGCTGATGTTTAAGTGTAATAACATAATAAAGCCCTGTAAAAATTCTAATAAAAATTCTTTTGAAATTTTTTGGTAGTGGTGTCGATAAAAAATATGCATTTATCATCTAAGTAAAATGTCCTTTTAGCAAAAAAACACAAAATTCTGGACAAAAAAAATGAACAAAACTTTCAAAAATTTTTTAGTTTTTTAGATCGGTTTTTAAATTTTTTCTAAATGTTTGAATTTCTTTTCTTAAATCAGTGGGGTGTCGAAACTTTTGTGCTACTTACATAGCAACCGGAACTCCATGTTACATTTTCAAACTGTTGTAGCTCCCAGCCAAAAACCCGTGTCCATGAATCAAAAACTGAACTGGGAAGAAGCCATAGCATCTGCAGACAGTGTCTTCTACTGGTCCAGAAAGGCCATGTATGACCCCAAGAAAAGGTCATTTACACTGAGCTATGAGCGACCCAACCCGCGACAGAAAGAGGCGGCGTCTGTGGATCCGACCAGTAGTCTTTGGATGTCGGCCGCAGTTCCGAACTTAAGGTTGAATAAGGTAGGGACAGGAGTAAAAAAATCTGATCAATTTGTTGTTGTTAGTTTTACCCTACCTCCTTCTCACATAGTTTACTTAATTGGTATTGATTATGATTCTAGGTTGCATTATTTATGAAGGCTAAATCAATTCGCCATTGAAATTGTTTCAGTGACCATTTCAATTTTTGTAGCACATATAAAAATATGAGCAAAACTTCCTTGCGTTTATTAAATTCTTATAAGATGATGAAGTATTTGTTCTTTTTAGCTTTGCCTTTATAATATGTTGCATTCATGATTTTTTAGTCTCTGGATTGACTGGAGTTTTTTGCATCCACAAGTAAAGTATCAGACCTCGAGAAATACAGAAACCTTTATCCTTAGTTGGCTGGTTATCTTTTTTTTTTCGTTAGTAGGCTGGTCTCTGTATTGGGACATTCACGATTCACGTTCCTCTAGAGAATTCGACCAATCAGAGACTGTCTATTTCAGAGATTGAAACTGGTTGGGCCTGTGTGTTCAGTTGGCAACACGGGAAGATTACACATGTGCACCAGGGGAACTGTCAGCTCCAAATCAGTGGAGCCCCAGTATAAGAGTGTGCTTCCGCAGATGCTAAACGCGGCAGACGGTAAAACGAGCATGTCTCTATAGTTCAATTCGAGTACAGACTTGCAAAAATATAATTGCCTTGCGGTTCTTCTAACAACCGCCTAAAGGATTAATGACTTAAAATGTTAGTTGTTACCTAATATTGTTCGTGTATTTGTTGTTCCCCTTGAGGATAAATGGTCATTACTTGGTAAATTTTGGCATTAAATAAAATTTCAGTGCAAAAACTTGACGCATTTTTTGATGCAAAGTTTTGATTTGGCTGTTAGAATTTGCATTTAGACCTTAACTAGGGCAGAGTCACATTGGTAATTTTCTATGGAAAATTCACCTCTCTACCCTATTCTTCGCGAATATTTTGTTACGAATGCGCGAAACATTTTATACCTTTTTTTTATCAGATCCGACTCTGAAATCGAACTGGGCGGTGAATTTTGCCGACCCTGCTGTTCTGGATCCGGACACCGGTCTCGATTTCCCTGTGCGGCAACTGAGAGAAGCGCCGGTTCACGAACCGCAAGTCAGACCGAGCACCAAGATGAGTCCACGACTGAGGAGCAGAGTAATAACAGCCAATCAGATTTCAGAGCATAGATCCAAGTCTGCTTTTCTTCCGACACTCGATGCGGACCATAAAGAGAACAGAAATCAGCTACCCAGAAAGAATTTGAAGTCTGCTACTGCGTCTACGCAGACAACGCCTCTTAGGGTAATTTTTACTATGAAAAAACTTAGCATGTCTAGTGAACTTTTATACACCTGTAGGTTCTTGAAATTACAAGTTTGCACGTTGAAACAATTCGTTTTTTTTTGCTCATTTTAACAATTAGTTTTAACAAACAACTCGATAACTTTTCGTGAATATATGCCAAAATTCATTTTTTAAAACTTTTTGGGAAAAGAACCATCAAAAATAGTACCTTTGGCTCCACACCCATCATCAAATTCAGAATAGAACAGCAAATTTTAGAATGATCCGACATAAATGTAAATATGGTAATCTACCATGAAGGATGAACGTAAGCCATATAAGGTGAATTCATGCTTTGCAGCCAAATCAGACGTCGATAAACCTTCCGATAACTGCCTCTCAAACTGCAGACACGGTCACTGTGTTCAACAGAGACGGTAGCTACTGCGGAATAGTACACGCCGTACAGAACATGCAGAAGTCTATGCCCAAACCAAGACAACTGACAACCCCGAGATCAGTTAAAACAAAACACATTGGAATGAGTAATACCAAGCAGTCGTATGTGGATGCGGCTGGACGAGCGGACCAGTTGTTTCCGAGAAGACCTACAACAACCCACCAGCAGATACTGAAAGATCTCTACGTCACTCAGAGCATTTTCGAGAAAGATAAAACGCAGTCTTTCAGTCCAATGAGACACTACTTCACAACTTAGATGCTTATTCATAGACAAGCCAAAGCCATCAAGTCTGTGACTGTGAACTGTTAATAGGAAAATATTAGTCGATCCAGGCTAGTTGATGCTTTAAAAATGATTATACTCTTTGCGAGCTGGGTGTGTGCTTGTTTTCTAATAAATTTCATCAAATTTTTGTGATAATTCAGTCATTTGTCGAAGCATTGTTCAAACGTTTAAGAGCACGTTTCCAGTCTAAAGTTTTCAAAATTCGCAACAAAGAAAAATTTCGGTTAGCCCCGAAAAGTTATTCGCCATATTTTAGCACCTGAACAGCCAAGCCTTTGCAGAAATGGGACGCAAAAGGATCGAAAAGAAAAAAACAAAGCAGCAATGGGATCAGTATAACGTCAACCGTGTTGTAAAATTTTTGATGCTTGTTATCTGATACGAAACGTGATCTACAGTGAACTGATGCTTGAAACAGAGGCGGATCGATCTTCAAGAATTTCTAAATGAGCCGTTTTTTCAAGCAAAAATTCAAAACTTTCTCAAGTCCACCAGAATTGCGTACTCAGCAGTTCCAAAAAGCTATCAAATTCCGTTGTGGTTTCTTCACTTTGCAAAGCATCTATGAGAGCTAATCAGCCTGGCTAAGCAGAGTCAATTTTTAATATTTACCCGTATTCCAGATTTAGTTATTTTGCTGAACGAAGCTTTTTCTGCGACTCAGAGAAGTTTGATTGCGTCTAGAATTTTCACGTGGTACCACGATTGCAACCGAAATCGGTCAAGCTGTGGTAGAAATTTTTATCTATTTGGAACTTGAAAAAATAGATTCCAATCGATATAAAATCCACTGAAAGTTTCGAAAATTTAAATATAATCCATTTAGTGGAACTTATTTTATCTATTAAATCCTTTTTATGTTTATTCGATCCCCTGCTATGGCAGTGGTAGCGTGCGAGGGCAGGGGATCAAATACACTAACAAAAGATTGCATTGACAAAATAACTTTCATTAAATGGATTATAATTACTTTTTCGAAACTTTTATTGGATTTCGTATCCATTGGAATCCATTTTTTCAAATTTCAAACAAATTAAAATCCATTAAAAAGAATCAAAATGGATTATTATCTCTCGCGGAACAAAATAGGAAATAAATGGTAAATAGATATAACAGATTATAAAAATCTTACTAGATTTCGAAATGTACTTTATATTCAAAATTTATTTGAAAAAAAAAAACAAATCAAATTGCAATCCATCTAGACTGGTGTCCTACAATTTGTTTCCTACCAATTTGAAACCGCACATTTTAATACCTAGCCATTGCAGTACTAGCTATACAAAGTCCACAACAATCTAACTCATATTTTATAACTTACACCAATATAAAATAAATGCTGTATGAACTCCTTATCTTAAATGTTATCACACTAAAGTTAAACCGGCAATTAATGCATGCATCACATAGAACCCTTTGGTTTATCTCAGTTATACACGCCTAAATGACACTTCCCAAGTTATTCAAGACTCTTATCGAAAAGTTCTAATAAGGTATTTTCAATAAGGTGATTCACTAAACCAGTGTGATTACTAAAAAAACATGCTTGTGCTAATTCATAACGCAATTTGACGTAATAACTCAGACAGATATAAATTTCGGTCAGTCATTTTATGATCTACTCAAGTAATAAACAAACCCCAAAAATAAATTAGGATCGAGTCTTCTTTCGAATTCACAGTCTCATCTGAAAACGGGCCAATTCTTAACACGAACTTTTTTTAAGCGAAAAAATAAGTTTACCGAAATCTGGATTTGCTGAAATTTCAGCGGGAAAATGGGATGCCCGAAATATCATCAAGCTATTAAAAGATCTCGGCGAGAGATTTACTCCGACTGTTGCAAATTCCAGTGCGGTTTTGCCAGTAACAAATGATTTGGCCGTGCAGTTTGTCCTTCCAACTAGAGACAAACTGATTCGAATGGCTACACGCACACGTTAGCAGCTAGATGCAATTATGCGACCCATCCTCTTTGCGCAAAATTTTGAGATCTTCTACTCCTTATAAAAACGTGGTGCCAAACCGTGAAATTTGATTCCCACCCTTCCTTTGGAACCAGCGATATGCGGCCGTGAGTGGGATTACTAGAACAACAAAAGCTGTGGAAGGATGGCATTTTGGCAGCCAATTCTATTTCAACGGAAACCACCCAAATATGTGGAAATTATCGGACAGCCTGCAAAAAACGCCTCTACACAAAAACTAAACTTTTTCGATGCATCGAGTGGGCTTAAATGCCCAAAAAAAGAAAAAGTACTGTGAATTAAAACAAAGAGTAAAAAACATAATTATGTTTACGTTTAGGAGCATAACTGATTGTCTTGTTTTTGTTTATTCCTTCGTATCAATAAAATCCTACGTAAACTTTTGTTCAGCTTTTTTGAAAAGACGTTTCCTTGCAGACTCCCGCAAAAACGTGACTAAACGCAAGAACCTAACGCGTGTACTAGCTATTGAAATCCAGGACAATCGCCCTTATTTTTGAAATTTTAGGTTGGGACTGAGGCCTGGCAAATTTTTCAGCCAACAAATCAAAAGAGCTGAAGAGCAACCGTGTTATAAGCTTCAGTTCTAAAATGAGTCTGAAAATGAATAGTTTGCAGCTTTTTGGCATTGGTAATACTTTTTTAAAAACTTCTTTACCGGCTGAAAATGTCTGTAAATTAGGGCAATTTTCGTCAAAGAACAATTAATTAATCGCGGGCCCATGAAGTTTGCTGAAAGGTTGCTCATTTTTGGTACGAATTATTTTAATAATCCAAATTATCGGCATGGTCATTTGTATTCAAAACTTAGGCGAATTAAATGGCGCAAAATTATCTAGCTTTGAATGGCCTTGTTTTTGTTGCTTTTTTCTTTGATGTTTACCAAAGTCTCCTTCGAATTAAGTTCTTTTTTCAATTTGAATTAAAACGTTGTTAATTTATAGAAGTTTTAAAATGTAGTGGTTTTAAATTGTTAAGGCAACAAACAAAAAGGAGTAAAATTGTATGAGGTTAAATTGCTTAGAATTAAAAAAGTGGGAACCTTTAGAAGCCAGCATAAAGATCTTCTCAGAAACCCAGGAAAAATATAAATCTGAAAAAATATACAAAAAATTAGTACAAAATCAACTACAAATAAAAAAATTAAATTTTAGTGTATTACTAAGCGCCGTTTTAATAACGCATCCAGAAACATAAATTAAGAAAATATGCAACAATTTAATATCAGTAACTAACGTAAATCAGATTTTGAGCACGAAAAAAGAAAAAAAACAATGAATTTTTTTCACTCGAACACTGTCTTTTTTCTTCGTTTTTTTTACTCGTGTGAACTCCAACTGTTTGGGAAGCACTTTAAGAGAACAGCTGCCAGGCGAAACATGTCAATCTGGGTGTCAGCCGCACAATAGCGAAATGTTCTGATGGTCTCAAAAGCAAAACAAAAGTTCAAACACATCAAAACACACATCACAACAGAATACACGCTGTGCGGGAGCAAATGCGCAGTTTGCCTGACCCTGCAGCTAAACCGAAGTTACACGAGCACAACGAACAAGAAGCCCTAATTTTTAACCACAAGCTAACCAAAAGTTTTTATGGGTTGATCAAAAAAAATTAAGCAAGCCTAAGGAAGTGAAGAGCATACACACTTGAAGCTGACTAGGCGCTCCAGGAGAACAGCTGCCGCGCCACCACGCCACTCTCCGGGCCAGCCGCGCTTTTACGACAAACGTTCAAACTGAAAACAAAAATCCGAGAAGGTCGAACACCATTAAACCACCGCGGGTAAAGGTCTCATCCCAGGGATAAAATAAGTAGAGTGAGTACCCAAATAAAAGTAAGGAAGCTGACGCCCCCCCCCTCAGGAATTCAACCCCCTGTCTACCCAAAGGGTCCCCCCTTTCTATTATTTTGAGATATCCATTTTGACGGACCCTAAAAATTTTCTAAAGGCGCCTTTGGCGCCAATTTTGACTTACTTTGTACTTTGACGGAGGAACGCGCGCCAAAAAAACCAATTTTTTATTCAACATTTTCCAAAAAGTGCCCAAAAATGGCTTTTTTGACCTGTTTTATTGTTTTAAAAAATCCCTGGTCGACCTAAAAAAAGGTCGTCAAAGTTTTCGAAATTTTTTGGAAATCCAATCGACCATACCCCCCCCCCCCCCCCCCCGTCGAGAAAATCCTGGATCCGCCCCTGAATACTTACCTTCTTCTGCCCTCAGTTCCATTGAACGCCGGTATTCTGGACAGGCGTTGACTCAACCAAATTAAAATCAGCAAATACAATGTTTGTTGTCACGTTTAAACTAGTTTTCACCAACTTCTAAAATCTCATTGTTTCGAGGATCCAATTTAAAAAAAAATGATCAAAAAATGAAAAAACCTAAATGCTTCTACAAAAAAACTATATCACCAAAAGGAGACTAACTTTTTAGCGCAATAACGAAATGAGCTCAAAAGTATATAAAGCGATAAAACTTTTTCAATAATAATGGATGATAATTGAATTTAAATGGATTATAATTCAGAGCAGACAAAAATTGATAAAAAAACGATTATAATTGCTTTTAATCAAATCTAGTATTTTTGGTGTTTAGAAAAAAAAAGCAACTTTATAATTTTATTAAATCAAATAGAATCAAATGTTCTCAAACTTCAGAGAGACCAGAGGCAGATCTAGGATTTTCTAGAGGGGGGAGGGGGCGGATTTTCAAAAACAAATTTTGTCGACCTTTATTTTTCAGGTCGACCGAATTGATTTTCCGAGCTCTTCTAAAAACTTTGGAAAAACAGGCCAAAAAAGTCGTTCTTAGACACTTTTTGGAAAACTTTGACAAAAAAATTGCGTTAATAAAGCGCATGCTCCCCCCTCAAAATTAGTATATATTGATATATTGGCGACAAAGGTACCAAAGAAAAAAATTAGGGACCGTCATTACGAGGCCAAACTGTGCATTCTCTGCATTGTAAGCGGATTTCGCAACAGGCCAAAATCAATTTTGTCGCGTTATCCGCAACAATGCTACTTTTCTTTGATCTTCTATGCTGTTTTGGTTTCTACAAACAAATACGTAAATTATTGTGCCGCTCAAAATCGCTCCAAAAATATGCCAAATTGCGGAATCCGCAACAGTATTTGTGGAATCCAGAACAGTTTGTGGAATCCACAAACAAATGAT